TTTTGACTTTCTTTTCCAACCACTAAGTGCCAAAGGTGTCTACAGCCAGTCTCCCCACTGGCTTTAGTAATCACTGTAGATTTATTTGATCTTTCTTTTCCTTTATTCCTCCTTTTGGGTTGAGCCTCACACAGGGAACATACTCCAATTCATTTGACCGGGGGCCATCACTTCCGAAGCCTGAAAAGCCATTTTGGGTGGGGGCCTGTTGTGTTCAGGCGCCATTTTAGGCAAGGGCTCACTGGGCCCAGGCGCCATCTTAGGGGTGCCACGTGTCTGATCAGCCTGCAAAGATTGTAAGTGTAATGTAAGCCTCTCAAACAGTCGATTTTCCAGGTCCAAAAGCACATTGGAAAATTTAGGAGCAAATTTGGAAAGTTCATTATTATCAGGAGGCGGTTTTGTAGCAACTGGTGCTGCAACGGGGTCAGGATGGCATTTGGAAGCCTCTTTGGCTAAGTCTTCCCGATTGACCTCTTGTAAAGTAGTAAGGTTGAGATACAAAGATTTATAATGGGTCAGGAGAGGAGCCTTGGACGGAGGAGGAGGCAACAAAAGCTCAGAAGGGGGAGGCAGCAGCTGCTCATTAGGGGAAGGTGGAAGCTGCTTGTTATCTTGGGGTTTAGTTAACACTTTATTTGCCTCCTCACCATGGAGAGAGGAGATGTCTAAACCAGCCTGGGAAGGGGCTGGAGTGGGCCTATTTGAGTTACGCAGAACAGTTTCTCCGTGGGTAATCATTTCTCCAACCAAAGGGTCTCTATGTCACTGGGTAAGAATCTCATCAATCAAGCCCCAGTATGAAAATGCTGTGATTGGGACCTTTTTCAAGGCCAAAAACTCTATAATAATCTTGTAATGCATCACCCACTTGTTTTTATCTTTTAGAATTGATCGTGCCCTCCAATGGGAACCACGGGCAAACCTCATGAATAAACTTAAAATATTGTAATAAATCTTTTTCCTTTACCTTAATCTCTCGTGTCTTGAGTGCCTTACTGAGGCTTTCCACAAAGAGTTCATGCTCACTTAATGCTTGACCCATGCTGGAAAAGGGGAAGGGGGTTGCCATTAACTCACCTGGCTCGAGCAGCGCGGCAGGCACTCGGGCGGCGTTGGCCTCGGAATTTACTTTCACTATCTGCTTTGTACCAGGGCTCTCGAAAGGCTCCCTTGTTAAATCCTCCATGCCAGGCCTCCACGTGGTGCTCCATTTGACTCGGCCCGCGAGTCCAGACGTGGGGTAATGACCTGGAGGAGGAACGGGGATGAACAAGACAGGGCAAGAGACACGAGAGACGGAGACAAGACAGGCTTTCTGATCAAGTCTCGTTTATTGAGGAAGTGAGCAGGGTCTAAATAGCTGTATAGTGGAAGCAGTTTGGTGGGACTAGTTGTGGATTGGTAGTGGAGGTCCAGGACCACAGGAAGATGCTGAGGCAAACAGGGATTGGTGCTGCAGCACTTCTTGCCCAAATAAGGGAAAATATAACAGGAGTGTTCTATCAATCACCCCCCACACTAAATTGTCCAAGTTTGCCTTGAACTTGCATTTTTCTTGCTTTACCCTCTTGAGTAACCAGTTACAGATGTGTGTCATGCTGTCAGCCTTCTGAAAGAATGCAAAACAGACATAGTTACAAGACCTCATTACTTGTTCACCAAAAGTCTCAGGAAATATGCAACCAGTATTACTGTTCTCAGTATGCTTGTTGAGCATATAGAGCTATTTTCATTAAAAAGTCTGTGTGAGCATTTAGTGAGTTTATAATTTAAATTGATATAACATTTAGATTTTTCAGTTTTAATTTCTAGTATAATAAATATCATCAGTTATAACCAGATAGACAAAAGCTCTTTGTGATTCTCAGTAATTTTTTTAGTATGTTTTACATGGGATTGAACCTGAAATCAAAATTTTGAGAATCACTGATCTGGATAGTAATAAAGAATTCACTGTTCTTCTCAGTCTTAAAAAAAATGTGGAAATCCAGCTGAACAAGTAGTGCTCCGAGTCAGATGCTTCCTTTCTGCTTTCCTCCGCTCCTCTGCTGTTGTTGTCTTCTCCCTCAACATCTTACTGCACTTCAAGGGGAGAAGACAGTGTTGGTAATCCGAGTCACTTGTGGGACTTCCTCTAAACAGAAACTAGCACTTTGCTATGCTATGCAACTTCCGGAGTTTGTGGTGGATTCTTGATCCAATGCTGGGATTTTAGGTGTGAGTGCTACACCCTGTCCCTGGGGTGGATAATTTGCATTGCAGTGTAAGGGGGTGGAGGGAAAGAGGCTAGTTAGCTCAGGGAGCTGCTGCCCTCCCTTTGCTTTTTTGCTTTTTTCCTCCATCAATGGCTGCTCTGTGCTGTGCAACTCTGCCTTGGAGCCAGTTGAGTGTACACTGAAACCTCCACTGTGAGCTAAATAAGCCTTTCCTTCCTTAATTTGGGTATTGGGTATTTTGTCCCAGCAACAAGAGAAGAGTAACTGAGACAGTTATGAACAGTGAGAAGATCCTTTCTCCCTGGTACATGGGGATGTGAGCACAGAGTTGTGCTGGAAGAACTCTTTGCATGTAAACCCTGGAGCCCACAGAACTGCAGGTGACACCCATGTTTAGGTGAGATTATTTATAATCTCAGTTGCTTTGGAAGAATTAAAAGCAGTTGCAGTTATGATGCATTTTGTATTCTTTGGAAATGGCAACTAAATGAAGAAGGTTTGTGATTTTTTTCTTTATTTCTTTTTGTTTGTTTGAGATGGGGTCTCACTATGATGCTTGGCCTGGTTGGACCTGGAACTTCTGGGCTCAGGTGATCTCCCACCTGTTTCCCAAATTCTAGGATTATAGGTATAGGCCACTATGCCCATCTCATTTTCACCTGAGTAACAGATGAGCAAATCTCACTCTACCCTGCGAGATTGTCATGTAAGCACTGTGCCCATCTGGTAAATGTCAAGGTATGGACTGTGAATCATATAGTTTCTGTTCTCAGGCACCTTTTGATGTCCCAGCAGACCCTCAGGAATATGCCACCTATAGTGTTTGTTCAAGACAGAAGAAATGCACTTCTGGCTGAGGTAAGGTTTTTAAATAATATAAACTTATACATAGGTAAAATTTTAAGCTAAAATTTAAACTAGGCCTTTGAAGGTGTGTCTTCTGGTTGTAAATCTTTATGCCCATTACTCTAACTGACCAGTGAGTGAAATGGCTATTTCTCCTGAGTGTAGTTGAAGTAGCCAGACTCATCTTCCCACATTCGCCCTGCCCCTCACCTCTCCTAGCCTCTGTGATCTTTCTATGACTTCATACCATTGAGCCTCTAAGATTTGCATTCTGCCTTTTGAGTGTTTTTACCATCATTTTCCTTGATTTACAGGCTGGTTACTTATAAAGTTTAAAAGCCTCTACATACATACATACATATTTTATGTGGGTAGTAGCCCCTTGGTAGTTATTAAAGTATGTTATATGTAGAAAAACATATGCCAAAAATCAGCAAATAATGTTTACAATGTTATATAACTATTATTTGCTAGAGGACCAGATAAGATTTAGCTATGTAGAAAAAAAAATACATAATTTGTTATGTTTATTTTTTGTTAGTCACTGCACATGTAACACTGAAAACATTGCCCAAGGAATAATCTTGACATTGAAGGATTTCTCCAAATACAAAAAGGGGTAAAGCTACTGTCCCCTGTAAGACACTAGTGCAGTTTGGCTTGTACTAAGTTGAACAGTCCCAGGCTGAGCTCCCCAGTGATTTTTTTTTTTTTTTTTTTTGGCTTTGGCAGAAACGGGGATTGAACTCAACTTGCTGAGCTTGCTAAGCAACTTTAAATACAGTGTCTACAAGGTCTCACTACACAGATCAGACTCATAGTGATCCTCCTGCTTTCAGCCTCTCAAGTGCTGAGATTATAGGCGCGCACCACTATGCCCAGTCTCTGTTGCCTTCTCAGTCCCAGAGCTGGCACGGCATGAGGTTCTGGGATTGAACCCTGGTCTCTTTGCTGAGCTATCTGGCTGGACTTCCTATGGTTCCTATTGTTGCAAGAGGGAAGCACCACAGGCACTGTGAGTCCCTTTCAGAGTACAGTAGTTCCTAGCTGTTTCATGACTCAACTTTGACGGGTTTTTAAAAATCTAAATTATCACAGATTTTTCACTATATTGCAGGATTTTGTGGTAGCACAGAGTACTATATACGTATTTATATGTGTAGTATTTATGGTCCTAATGATTTTTGCCTAGAATTTTAAAAATATATTAAAAATGTTAATTCTAACATATTAAATGAATATTAAATAAAAATAAAATATTCTGTTTACAGTATGCATTTCTTTAATGGATAAATATATATTGTACATATAGTATATATATGTTGTTAAAGTTACATAGGTTTATGAGTTTAGAAAATGGTTAAGAACATTAGAAGTATTTTTAAAAGCATGGGAGAGGTTTATAAGAGTGTGAGAAGCCTTAAGGTTTATAAAGCCTTAAAATATATGTAAATACTAAAATAAATAAAACGTCACTACTTTGCTGATTTTCCCTTATTGCAGGGGTATCTGGACCGTAATCTCTGTGATTAGTGAGGGACCACTGTAGTCCCTGAGAAGGAAAGGCACATGCTTACCTGAAGCCCATTGCTGCTGCCAGGGAGCTAGCAGTGTGGGTCCCTGGAAGGATAGGACATACCTGGTGCATCTGAAATGGCTGGTGCGTTTGGGATGTTTGCAGAGTCCAGCAGGAGCCAAGGGTTATACCTACATGCACCATGCTCGATGCCCCAGCATGTGCTACTGTGTGCTCTGCCAAGGAGCCATTACTATTTGAAGTCTGGAATTTTAATTTCTCCTGCCTTGCTCTTGTCCAGGATTGGTTTTGCTATTCTAGGTTTCTTTTGATTCTATATGAAATTTTCTTACTTTGTGAGGACTGCACTTGGTATTTTGATTGAGATTGTGTTTTATCTGTGTATCAGTTTTGGAAGTATGGCCATTTTTACTGTATTGGTTCCTGTTTTGGAACAGGGGATGTCTTTTCATTTCTTAATGTTCTCTTTGATCTCTTTTTTTTTGGAGTGCAATAATTTTCATTTTGGAGGGCTTTCACTTCCTTGGTTAGTCAATCCCTGGTTAATTTTTCTTGCTATTGTGAAAAGTGTTATTTCCCTATTTCTTTCTTGATGAATTATTGGTGTACAGGAATTTTTGTGTGTTGACTTTATATCCTGCTTTGATACTGAATTTAATTATTCTAGGAATCTTTTGGTCATATTTTTTGGGTCTTCTATATAGAAGATCAAGCCATTTGTGAATAATGGTATTTGGTTTTTTTCCTTTCCTGTATACATCCCTATTATTTCTTTGCCTTGTCTGATTGCTCCAGCTAATATTTTGAGAGCTATATAAAGTGGTGATAGAGGATGTTTGATTTGTGTCTAGTTGTTCCCTCAAAGCCCCATACAGTCATGGAGCAGCTTCTGGAGTTTGTGACTGATTCTTGACCCATTGCTGGGATTTTGGGTGAGTGCTATACTCTGGCCTTGGGGTGAGTAATCTGTATTACAATGTAAGGTAGGGAGAGAGGCTAGCTAGCTCAGGGAGTTGCTGCCCCTCCCTTTGCTGTTTTGCTCTTTTCCTCCTCCTTAAATGACTGCCCTGTGCCATGTGCTACTCTGCCTTGGACCATCTGAGTATGGACTGAATCCTCCACTAAATGTGACCTAATGAACCTTCTTTCATTTTGGGTATTGGATGCTTTGTCCCAGCAATGAGAGAAAAGTAACTGAGACAGAGGATATCCTTTCTTATCCCTGATATTAGTAGGAAAGCTTTCAGCTTTTTGCCAATTAAAATGGTTTTGGAAGGCCAGCCAAATAGCTCAGCAGATTAAAGTGCCTGCTTAGGCAGATACTGAGACTAGGGTTCAATCCCTGGGTGCCTTGCTGGCCCCACCCCTGGGGCAGCTGAGATGTCAACTGTGATTGGGAGTGGTGTCATGCCCCTGTAATCCCAGTACTTGGCAGGCTGAAAACAGGAGGATCTCTACAAGTCCAATGTGTATAGTGAAACCCTGTAGACCGTATACTAAATACATTTTAAAAAATTAAAAAAAAAAAAAAAAAGATTTTGGCAGCTGGTTTGTCATAGATGGCTTTTTTTTTTTTAAAATGAACATTAATTGCTTTTTTTTTTTTCAAAATTTTATTGATAAACAGATAGCAAGAGACAGTTTCAAATCAAATCGGAAGTACAGATTCAACAAATAACACACTGCATATATTCTTCTTAGTGGTTAATTGCTGTACAAGATGCGGACTTGAGATCCTATTTAATAGATGGCTTTTTATCAGAGGGACATAATAGTCTTTCTATACTTATTTTCTTCAGGGTTTTTATGAATGGATGTTGGATTTTGCCAAATGCATTTTCTGTTTCAATTGAGATGATCATTTTTTTCCTTGCTTGTATTTATGTGATATTATACATTTATTGATATGCATATGGTGAGTCATCCTTACATCACTGGGATGGTCATGATATATGATCTTTTTGATGATTTGTTGCCATTATCTTGTTGAGGATTTTTCTGTTAATGTTCATTAAAGAGATTGGTGTTTAGTTCTCTTTTTTTGGTTGAGTCTTTTTCTAGTTTTGAAATCAGGGTATTGTTAACTTCCCCCTTTCAATTTCTTTAAAGAGTTTAAGGAATGTTTATAGTAGATCTTCTCTAATGTTCTTATAGAATTTGGCAGTAAGTACATCAGGTCCTGTTTTTTTTCTTAGTTGGTAGGTTTTTTTTAATTAATCATCAATTTCATTGCCTGCTATTTGATTTTTCAGGGTTTTTATTGTGTCGTCTTGTTTCAGTTTTGGTAATTTATATGTTATGTATCTAGGAATCTATCCATTGCTTCTGAATTCCATTTTAGTAGAGTGTAGTTTCTTAAAAGAGCTACTAGTAGTCTTCTGGATTTCAGCAGAGTTTGTTGTAATTTCACCTTTTTCATTAATAATGGCATTGATCTGGGTCTTTTCTTGGTAAGATTGGCTAGGGGTTTGTCCTTTTAATCTTGAAGAAGCAGCTCTTAGACTCATTGAAATCTTTATGTCAGTTTCATTAAATGTACTCTGATCTCTATCATTTTCTTCCTTGTATTACTTTGGATCAGATTGTTCTGTTTTTGTAGGAATTTCATGTGCATCATTAGGTTTTTATTAGAACTTATTCTGTTTTTCTGATGCCAGCATTCACAGCTGTAAACTTTCCTCTTATGACTGCTTTCTATTTTGAAGAAAGTCTCATGTGCTTCCAAGAAGAATGTGTATTCTGGTGTAAATGGGTGGAACACTGGAGATATCGAAAGTCCAGTTATTTAAAGATTAGGTTCAATCTGATATTTCTTTGCACTTAGGGCCTGGCTAATGATAGTCCATTGCCTCTGTCCCATAATCAGGTTATTTCTGTCAGCTGGGGGAGGTGGGGTGATGCAGTATAATTGGCCCAGGACTTGGTTCTCCAGGAATGGGCCATTATATTGTATTGTTAATATCACAAAGGTCCTGATACTGGCATACAGAAAAAACCAGTTAACAGCAAAAATTATGCTACCCTGGCAATATCAAGTAAATCAGTAAGAACAGTGTTGTCCAAGACAAATTAGATTTGTCTAATAATTAATGTCCTATAAAAACCAGTAATTATCACCCTTAACCTTAGTAGAAATTACTACTGTAAACCCTAAGATAAACCAGATATTGACATACAACAAATACCTACTAAATGAGATAACTATATCTACACTAATGATAGTACGAGAATTCAATATCAGTATGATAGAGTTAACTTTCTAAGATTAAAAAAGCTTAGTGGTCATACTGTTAAAGATACAGATAGTTGGGAAGAGAAGATGTGAAAAAAAATTGAAAAATTAAACAATGGCAGATAAAGAAGAAAAAGTGAGACAAAGGATACTGTTATGGAGAATGAGAGGATGGCTATAGAATTAAAGATTAAAAAAATGAAAAATAGAATATAAAGGAGACACAGGAGGTACCTGTATGTGCATCTCTGTCCTTCTGTTGCCTGCTCTGTGAAAAGAGTCCCTTTGGAGTAAAATCCCACACTTTTACAGCTTACAAAGACCATAGGTTCTGCTGCCATTTCTTCCTGGATCTCCCAGCTCTGGGTGCCTACTTTATTTCTGGGGATTCAATGCCCTTTCCTCTGAGTTTCAAAAGCTGGAGGGAGTGTCTAGATTGTTTCCTTGAATATCTGTTGATTCAACTGATATTTAACCTTTCCTTCATAGATACATCCAAAGTTTCCAAGTTTTACATATCAAAGGAAGTGTGATATGTTTAAATAGTAGTGAAGTGTTTGAAAGCTCAAGCTGTAGAGCAGCTCCCAGTATGGACAAAGAGTCCACAGAAAGAATTAGGTGAAGGCTATCCCTGGAGACCAGCAGTTGGGTCAGTGTTGGAGCGTGACACTTGAGCATCAGGAGTGGAAGGTATAGCCCAGCCTGTCTTTTCCTGTGCTTTCTTTTCAGGTTGATCAGTTGCTGGCAGTAGCTGACTTTGGGCCCATAGATGATATAGATAACTCGGCACAGGATCATTTCAGGTATGGATGTGTATTCCAATTCCCTGGGGTAGATCCTTAGGCATAGAATTGCTGTTTTCCACAGCAGCTGTATGACCTGTATCCCAACTAGACATGTTGCCCCACTGGTATTTACTCTGGGCCCAGCAGATATCCATGTGTACTGGCTAATGGGTTCAAAGCCATGATTCAGCTACCAAGGAAGAAGACTCATTCCCTCTTCTTGACTCAGTGCATTTTCACTGAGTGCTTATTGTATGCAAGGCCCTGCTTCAGTTCTTAGATGCAGTTGTGAGCATCAGGGAATGGTCCCTGGTATAGAGCATGGGTTGTGCTAGGAGAGGCTGATTGTCATGGATGAGTCCATTATAGTTAGGAAGAAAGGTACAGAAAAATAAGTGTTCAAATGACTGGTGGGGATGCGGGAAGTTTTGAAGAAAATAACATGAGGGCAGGTGAGAGATCTAGAGAGCAGAGATGTTCTTGTGGAGGAGGCACTCTTCCAGGCATGGAACAGCTAGGGCATGAATAGTACCCATATCCCTGGGCATCTGGACTCCCATGGCTCAGCAATAACCTATAGTTTAGCTTACAGAGGCCAGAACAAAGACCCCACACCATAGCAAGCCTGGCATATCCTGACTGGTAGTGGCCAGCGTTGAGGAGAAGGGAGTTAGGGAGTCAAACCAGAAGCTTAGGGACTTTCAGGAGCTGAGCATTACAGGGTCATAAGATGACATATCTGTGCTCAGTTCTGCTTCCAATAAAACTGGTGCATAGATGGCACTGGCTATGCTTAGCTGAGAAATGTGGAAAATCCATTTAATAACCAGGCTGAATGATTGCACAGGACTGTGTTATTGGCTGGTTCTTATGTTGGAGAACCACAACTAGTCTTCTTCCCATAATCTTGTGTACAGTCTCTTCAGATACATAGATGTTTATAGATGTTCAAGAGGAAATATGTACCCATGAAGAGATGTAAGATATGCTTATGGTGACATTTTACCTTGGTTTGGGGCTTGACTTGTACTCCATATGAAAGCTCTTTTTTTTCTCCCAGGGACTCTGATACCCAGTTACCACCTGACCCCCCAGGACCTGCTGCAGACTTTTACCTGTGTGGGATCAATCATGATGCACTCAACAGGCAAATAATGGAGTATAAACGGAAGAAGGAGAAAGGACTTCAGGACATTAGCCTGGTGCCACCTGGGCAGGAGCAAATGGCTAAGTTGCCACAATACATGAGGAGAAGGAAGGCTCTGTCACACAAGGATCAGGACACCTCCCCCAGGAGTTTCCTCTTAGGTGAGGAGAATGAGGATGAGGATGAAGACAGTACCATGGAATATGAATGTGAATCTAAGAAAGCAGAGGAATGAGAGGCAGAACATGGAGGTGGTGGGGACCCCATGACTGAACAGTAGGGCCCTCATGACTGAACAGAACAAGGATAGGGGGGAGTCGTCAGTCTGCCTGTCTGGGCCTGCAGGAAAAGAGTGTGCTTTTGTGGAAAGTATGTGGTCTGTACTACAGAGATAGGTGATGAAACTCTTAGAGGTATCATGGACTCTTCTCCTGTTCAACTTTCAGTAGTTTTCTATGTGTCTAAGCATAATTTCCTATACAGAAGTCACTGTTCTTCTTTCATGAAGCACACTGTGTGTAATAAAAAAATAATAAACCACTCATCACATTGGTGAGATCTTCAGATGTGAAAAGAATAAAGCTATATCACTGGGACTCTAGCCCAGGTCTGTGCAGCAGAAGAGGGCAGGGATGGAGGCCTCTTGTGCTCATGCTTGTCTGTCTTCCCAAGGGTGGCTTCCTCAATGCTGTTGTGGGTCCAGTTTCCACCTTCTGATTGAGGCATGATTGAATGAAAAGTACATATTGGTGCAATGGAAGGGCTCCCAGGTGATCCAGGTAGTACTGGCTATGCCTGAACTCTGATCACGTGACATATTGACAGACTTTGCTCTTGGTGCCTCTGTCCAGCTGGCTTTTTTTCTGGACCCATTTAAATGTCCAACATGCAGGTCTTTGCCTTCTGGGGAACCTGTGACTCTTGGACACAGGCTGTGAACAGCTTTTTATTTTATCATATCAGAAGAAAAATCATGCTCCATCTTATAAATTATTTTTTGGTTTATTTATTTATTTATTTGTGTGTGTGTGTGTGTGTGTGTGTGTGTGGCCAGCTCAGCCCACCAGGGGGCGGGGCTGGCTGGCATGTGGTGCTGGGGGATTGAACTGCGGTCCCTGTGCTTTGCTAAGCTTGTTCTAAGTAGGTGCTTTAGACCACTGAGCCATCTCACCAGCCCCTGGTTTATTTTAAATAGGAAAATCATCAACAAAAAGTGCAGATATATTAAAAATGTGGCGCTTAGACTATCATCGTCTTGCTCAACCTCAGCCGGCAGTCAGTTTATTTTTTCTATAGGTGTCTTGAAATGACTGAAAGTACTATAATCACAACCAGTGACAACCAGAAACTACTATAACTACTATGATAGTAACTACTAGTGACGACCAGCAACTAACAGTCAACAGCTGCCAACAGCCAATATGAAATTGCCAGTAATAGCCAGCACCTACCAGGGACAACCAGCAGACAGGTATCTCCCCAGGACAGTTCCCTCAATTCCCAGACCTTAGCTAGACAACTACTAAAGTGTCTTCTAGATTGATGATGATAAAGCAGTGGGATTCACCTACTCATTATTTGGTGCTTTCAGTCACTTGACATGTATGAAGGGATCACTTTAGCCCAGCTTAGTGCTTGTTACCATCAAAGGCTAAGCATGGTGATGTTTTGCATTCTTGGTTTTTTTTGGCGGAACCAGGGATTGAACTCAGATCCTTGTGTTTGCCAGTCAAACGCTTATCCTACTGAGCCATCTCCCCGGCCCCTGCATTCTTGTTTAGCTCACAATAAGCAAGCATCTTTTTTGTAATCTAGGTACCACATTTTTCTCATGTTTGTATCTTTTCTTGATGGCTTTACCATTTTAAAACAGTTCCAGACTAGTTTTGTTCTTTCTGGTGGGTTGAATGACTTCAGTCCCTGCTCAGGCTCATATCATGCTGATCTGATACAGGCTTGCCTAATACCAGCTCTGTTAACTAGCATAGTCTGTTAGTGTGCCACATGTAGCCTGTTGGAGTACTATGCCAAGATGTGCACTTGTCATTGTGTGTGAGTGCCTTGTGTAACATGTACAGTACATGCATGGTTGGAGTACCGTGTGTATGTGGGGGGCATGAGTCTAAGAGGGAATGCGTATATGCAGGTGCTTCTGTGCATGCATATACACATATGTATATAAATACAATTTTTGAGTACCTTGTGTGCATGCTTGAGTGCCCATGTGTGCATGCCTGAAAGCATGTCAGTGTTTATATGCATGTGTGTGAATACTTTCTGTGTGCACACAGAGTATGTAAAAGCCTGATGTGTACAATGTATATCCATAAGCTATCAAGCCTAGGAAGTTTAAGGTCCAACAGTTTGCTAGTTAGACTCCTTAGTGGCCTATACAGAGCTCCTAACTGGTCCTCATCTGGCCATTGAAACATTGGTCCTATGAGTTTGGTTCTGTCTTGGAAATTCTTGGCCCCACTGAGGGTAGGGAAAAGCAGGGTTTGGAAGAAAGGATCCTGTGTTGTCAAAAGCTGTCTTTTTTTTGACAGGAACACACTGGGTGGTTTTTGCTCTTTTATTTTAATTTTTTTATTTTTATAAAGAATAAAAAATATTAAACATTAGAAACAGTATAGAATTTCACTGAACGAAATAATAGTAATTAAATAATGGTTGTTATATGGCATTAATGTCTTCAAATCAGTTGTTTTGATTACCAGATATAGGCATACAAAATTGGTTAAATAAGTTACTTGTGAGCTGGATGTGGTTGTCTCCCTAGTGTAAAAACCTGAAAGAATAAATAAAATCTGAAAGGTATAATAGAGTGGAAAGAAACTGAATATAAGGAATAAACAATGCAGATGAGGGAAAGGAGAAAAGATAGGAAAAAAAGGAAGGGGGAAAAATCACACAATCACACGGGATACCTGAGATGACTGTAGTACGAATTTCTATCAGTTTTTTGAAAGTAGCAGTTAATGTTTAAAATTTTCACTTTAACTCTATATGCTAGTATCTGTAATCTGAGCAACTACATTGAAGACAGCAATATACAGTACCAAAACCACAGTTGAATATACCTTTTATCATGTTCTTCAAAATGTATAGTTTGTAATGTCTTATCAATTATTATTATACTCTTTTCAAACAAGTATTAATGTTTATTTGACCAATCTTGCATACCTATCTCTGTTAATTTGAACAACAGATTTGACCTAAAAAATACATAATATAGTAACCATTGTTAATTTTTATTCTTGTTTTGACATTCTGTACCATATGTATTGTATGTTACTATTTTTGTCTTTGTTTTTACTCTTTAAGATAAAAAAGTAAATATTAAAAAATAAATAGGGCTGGGGAGATAGCTCAGTAGAATAATTGCTTGCCTGGCAAGCGCAAGGACCTGAGTTTAGTTCCCTGTTCTGCCAAAAAACAAAACAAAACAAAACAAAACAAAACAAAACAAAACAAAACCATATTTTAGGACCCAGGGAGATAGCTCAGTAGAATAAGTGCTTGCCTGGCAAACACAGAGTCCTGAGGTCAGTCCCTGGTACTGCAAAATAAATAAATAAATAAATAAATAAATAAATAAATAAATAGAAATAAAAATTAAGGTTAAAATAAGAAATTAAAAAGAAAATTAAAAGTTAGTCGCTCCTTTCAAAGGCCAGCAGAAATCAGCAGTAAGTTGTCCAAGCTATCTTGTATATATACACAAATATGTTCTTTTTCCTTCCTTATTTTGTCCTTTTCCTTCTCCTAGTTGTTTTTTCCTTTGAATGGATTCTTTCCCTTTCACAGTATCTATTATACTTGCTGATTTTATTTATTCTTTCAGGTTCTTAACACTAGTGAGACCATATGATGTTTGACACACGGGTCTGATTTATTTCACTTACGATTATGGTCTCTAGTTGCATCTATTTACCTACACAAGTCTCAAGTATATCTTTTTTTAGAACTAAATAATACTTCATTGTGTAAAAATACCACAGGAAATAGTTTTCAAGAGCGTCCTGCAGTGGAGTCTGTGGTTTCACACAGCACCCCTTGTCCCATGCCCTGGTCTTCAACATTTTTGACAAGATGGAGCATGAGGAGTTAGCATGGAGGTAGTATGGTGAGATCTGATGGTAGAAATCTTAATAGGTGATGAATTACAGAAACCACGTTTTAAAAAACACTGTGTTTTACTCACACAGTGACTTTTTACTTGACCATGATGGCTTGGTGGAAAATTAACAATAGGAAAACAAGTACACAAGTGCATTCAGTCATGTCAGGCTGGGAGCAAGACTGATTTTCAGCTTGTGAGCTCACTTTAAAAGGAAAATCTAGGGTGCATTGGTCAAAAATTAAGAATTTCAGGTGGCAACCTCAGAGCATTAGCCAGTCACAATGTTCCCAGCACTTGGGAGGCTGAGGCAGGTGATTTTTATGAATTAGACACCAGCCTAGGCTACACAGTGAGTTCAAGACTAACCTGGACTATACAGTGAGACCCTGTTTGAAAATAGGAAAAAGTCTTGATGCTGCCTAACCCTCAGACCATTGGAAGGTTGCTGTCTGTCTCCATGGTGTCCTTCCGGGGAGGCCTGTGTCCTCATCCTTTCCCTCTCTTAGCTATCCCATCATCCTGCTACTGGCCTGATACTGATAGAATGTAACACATTTATTTTGTGGGAAGTCCCTCAGTATGGTCTGACAGTTGGTTGTCTTATCACTTAGGTCTTATGTATTTGACTGGAACACAGCAGCAACACAATTTTCCAGTTTGGCTTTTCAATTCCTCCCCAGAAGGATACCATGGAGACAGACAGCAACCTTCCAATGGTCTGAGGGTTAGGCAGCATCAAGACTTTTTCCTATTTTCAAACAGGGTCTCACTGTATAGTCCAGGTTAGTCTTGAACTCACTGTGTAGCCTAGGCTGGTATCTAATTCATAAAAATCACCTGCCTGGCAATGTTCATGTTGCCAGATCTATGAAGGTGGTATCTGAGTGGCAGCCTCCTGTTTTACTCAGTAGTTATATTCTGTTACTGTTACTGTATTCTGAGGCCTACATTGATCCCTGACTCTTGGTAATTTGTCTGTTTCCTGGGCCTGCAAACACCAGGAAAAACAGTAGAAATTTAGTCTCAGTCCTGCAGTCCAGGAGTCCAGACAGAGTGTTGTAGGACCATTCTTCCCTCTTGGGATCAGGAGGGACCTCTTCAGCCCCTGTGACTTAAGGTGCTGTTGAGCTCTCCATCCTCACAGCCTACTTTTCCTGTGTCTCTTTCTCCATTCTCTTACAAACACACTTGTCTTTGGTTTTAAAGTGTACCATAAGTCTAGGATAATCTCATTTTGAGATCTTTATGTCTGTAAAGACTATATTTTCCAAATGAGGTCAGTTCTGAGAATGCATGGCCATACATTTTGGGGGTTGCATGTCAGCCCACTACAGTACCTCTCAGGCTGGTTACTACTGTTACAGATGAATGGGCTAATAAGGAGGGGTCTGCATAGAGTTAAATGGAGGAAAGGGAGTGACTCACTCAGCTCCTTTATTTCTAACTGTACTACAGTGGCTCACTGGCTAGCCTCAACACCCTTTCTGTTCTAAATCAGCTTGTTTTTTGTTCTACTGGAGCTCATGATAGGAAAACGGACTTAAGCTCAAGGGGTGGCAACTGTTTGTGGGAGCAGAGTTGGTGTGTTGGTGGCCAGTGTACACACACATGTTGGCTACATTCTGTATCTGAAGTTTTCATGTTGCACAGGAAGTACAGATTCTCTTTGGAAGCATGTTGGAAAATTTGAGTTGAGGTGGGGACCAGTGTCTAGAAAGCAGGAGAAGGAAGCAGGATGGGGTAGGAGTGACTTAGGCTTGTGTGATTACTTTGCTGTTCCAGGAAGAGAGTGGCTTCAAAAGAGTTGCCAGATAAGATACAGAATACCCAACTAAGCTTGGAATTGTTGAGTTTTACTGGATGGTAAG